GCGGGATGTGTATGTAATGTTCTCTTTCGTTGCTATGGTCTGTAAGGGGGGGCTGTCTGTAAGGGGAGGGGGTGCGCTGGGGAGGGGGTGCGCTGGGGAGAGGAGCCGCAAAACCTCGAACTCAAAACTTACACTCACTATTTTCTTCGAAAATATACGTGAGTTCCGCAAAATCCTAGATAATGACTTGATATCTTAACTTCAGTAAGGGGACATGACTCACCATGTCTTTACTTCAGTTCAGTTTCAAAGCAAACAACCCTTATTTAGATAGTTTTCCACTAGTGACGGGACTTTTATCCACTACTGTATGCTTGCATATGGATAATAGCAGAGACCGAATTTTCAATTTTAAGCCTCATACTGTAATTTCGCTTATACATTCCGAATTCGATTATAAGGATTAACATTGAAAAAATCGGTTCCTGTTATTTTCTTTATGCAAGCATATTGAAGGCTGAAATTTTAGTCATATACCTTACTCGAGTAGGCCTACTCACTGTCAACAGATATGGGTATTCGTAGATTCGAAGAGACTGTGCTTTGGACAATGACTCGTATATTCAACCATTTTCAGTGTCCGTGAGTGTTCGAAGAACCAGCTCACCGAGTTGTATCTACTAGTGACACTGCTTTCCGATTTAGGGGTGTTCATGGGTGTTCGCTTGCTTTACAAATAGCCAGGTTTCGAAAGATCCTGGAAAACGGAAAATTCTTTAGTTCCATTCAGTTACGTCCACTCCGTTTTCGCATATAACGCCAATTTAACAGTTTTGAGAAAGTTCAGTATAATAAGACGACTACCTAATTCGTACCTATATGCGTATAGAGTTCAGAGTTTTGAGCTGATATGTGGATGTTAGGGACGACACAAATACACATCCATCTCGACATTTGAAGCCATAGGTACATCCAACCTCTATATAAATGTGGGTATAGATTCGGATGTCAATCCCGTTACAACAAATTAACTCAAATTCTCTAACTCAACATATCCATGGTTATCGCATAGGATATTTGTTACGCAGGATATTGCCATCTGTAGCCTATCGTTAACCAACTCATGAATGCTATAAAATCTGTGAGCATACTTCATTTATTTTTCTTATGGCATAATGTTTCATATTTACCTGTCAAATTGCTGCTGTCAAGTGCTCATAACGATAGCAATGATAAGAAGATTAAATGATGAAATCATTTAAGATATTTTACTCATCAACATGGGGTGTATTCCGAATAAATCGCTACCTAATATTGAATCAAAGCAAATACCCCAGGAAAACTTGTCAGTCAACATTCAAAAATATGCCCAAGAAAATCCAACCATCGTGGGTGAAAATTATGAATCGGCTGTTAGTGATGATATAAGCCGTAATGTGGCTACCAGGAGAGTCAGACAATCTGTAACATCATCTAGGTAACTAATACTTAGTAGCAATGAACGAACAGCATCGGGACATCTTTTTTCTCCTTCAAGGTCAATCGTAAATCATAGAAGCTCGGAGCCAATTTACGATGCACTACTGATTTGGCTCAATGTAGATTCAACGCTTCAGTCTTCTGTATCGTCTATGCAGAACGTCGTTGCCAACACTTTCTCCCAGCTACAAGTATATAACGATGTAAACGCTTTTATTTCCAAAATGTCATGTGTGAGCTCTGATAGCATATTTATTATTGTATATGGACTACTTTCTGAAAATGATATGATCGCTATGCTTAATATGCCTCAAGTTCGAGCAATCTATCTATGTTCAGGTGGTGTGCAGAATCCCAATTATCATGAAGATCGAAAAATCAGGGGCGTTTTCAGCGACTCTGATATGCTGGCATATCAAGTTCGGTGTGATATGGCTTCGTTTCAAACGATTACTGATGACTTCACAGTTTTTCAACCAAACAATACAGATCAATCAACACGCGAGCTCAGTAAAGAAAATGCTTGGTTTATCTCTTTTCATTATCTTCTCGAAATTATTTTTCGTCTGCCTGAATCAGATGATGATAAATCTAAACAAGAAATAGTAGATTATTGTCAAGAACATTATGCTAATAATGATACCGAACGTAAAATTATCGATGAATTCAACCTAGAGTATGCCGCTGAAAAGGCATTATGGTGGTATACTCGTGAAAGTTTTCTTTATCGCTTATTAAACAGAAGTCTTCGCTCGAACGACACGATGAGAATTCTTACCTGTCGTGTAATTATTAAACATATGCACCAGCAAATCGTTGCCTTACATCGTCAATTAGAATCGCAAAATGCAGCCGAAATGGTCGTATACCGCGGTCAAATAATGAGCATCGCTGAAGTGGAAAAACTGGAAAATAAAATAAATTCATTGATTTCTATAAATACTTTCTTCTCGACAAGTACCAACCGTCAAGTTGCGTTACAGTACATGAGTCGTTCATCACGACCTCATTTCCAACCAGTTTTATTTACCATTCGTTTAACAGCATCACCCAAAGTTCAACCATATGCTTATCTGTCATCCGTTAGTGCTTATTCTCAAGAACACGAAGTTTTACTCTCAGTGGGTAGTGTATTTAAAATTGATGGTGTGGAAAAAATAGAAGATAATATTTGGAACATTTATATGACTTTGAGCGGAGAACAAGACAAAGAAATCGAAAAGGCTATTAGTCATCTGAAGGCTGGAATCGGTGAATCCAGTTCACTTTTGACATTTGCCGGATTCTTACTGGATCGAGGTGAATACGTTAACGTTGAAAAAATCTGCACAATCATGGACGCTTCTTTACCTAATAATGATCCTGAACTAGCAGTTGTATACAACAACTGGGGTGGAGTATATTTTTGGCTTGGGGACTATGAAACGGCTTTGCAATACTACATTGCGGCTTATCATATTAACGGATTGCATCTAAGTACAGCTAGTGCTGACTCCATTGCGACTACAGACAGCAATATTGCCACGATTTATTTTAAAATGCGCGACTTTTCATCTGCAATCAGTTATTTGGAGGATGCTCTAAGATTTCGTTTGGAATCTGAGAAAATCGATTATGCTCATGTAGTCAAGCTCTACAGTCAAATGGCTCTTACTTATTCGGAGTTAGGTGATCAGGAGCAAGCAGATGATAACATTCAAAAAGCAAGTGACATGGCTGAAACAAAGGATCTGCCGAAAAAACATTCCTCATATGGATGGCTCAAAATGAGTCAAGCAATATTGTTTTTAAAAGCATCACTTAATGATAACTACTTCACCCTGTTCAAGGAAGCATTGCAAGCATTCCATGATTCTTTGCCAGTTCATCATCCTGACTTAATTACTGTATGTCTTGCTATCGGAGATTATTACCAGCAAAGTGGTCAGTATCAACTGGCTTCAGAACACTACACAAAGGCACTAGATATTTGTTACAAAGCTTTACCAAATAACCATCCTGACATCGAAAAGTGTCAAAGGAAGATCAAATTAGTATCCAAGAAATAATAAACTGCAACAACATTTATTTGGCTTTGAGTAGTGTAATTGTGTCATAATGAAAAAGAAACTATTTGGGTGTGAATGTGGGTAGGTGTGGATGTATGTGTGTAGGTGTGGGT